GTGAGTTAATGTCGTTTGCATTAGTGTGTGCATACCTTCTCTCCATTAGGGTTACCCAGGACATAGCATCCCATTATGTGGATGAGGTTGGGTTCCGGGTTGATTTTACTCATGAAGCGACTAAGCCTCCTCCAGAATCTGAACAAAGACAAAGGCGACAGTTACACAGGATCTGATTTGTTTCCTTCTGAATGGAATAAATCTGAAACACACAAGAGCAAAATAAAATGATCCTGTCCTGTTTACATTCATCACAGCAATGAATCAGAGAGAAACACCTCTAACGCACAACACCAAATGGAACTTTTAAAAAGATAAGTGTCACACACTTGTCACTTTTTATCGGTTAGCGGCTGCGATTTTGCACTGAGGCAACTGTTAGAAAAGTAGCAGAGTCTAGCAGAACTGCGGAACAGAAGGTGAGCCTTGTGTTTATATCTCTGAAACAAGTAAACATCACCTATTCAAAGATGGTTCCCGTGGGAGAGATGCATCACTCAGAAAAGTAGTAGATTGTGTTCATAAATGACAAACAAATGCAGATAAAGTATTGAGTCATCCCAGTCGAACCTTTTTGATTTAAATCAAGGCAGAGAGCATTCACAGACATTGCATTAATATTCTGAAAATAGAGTAAAGAGCATTTAGATGACAAATTAGATTCACTGAATGCCTAAAATGAAAAGATGTCTTTGGGAAGTAGCCCGTTTGTTTTTCTCTAGGTTTTTAGGAGAGGCATTTTTAATTGATTGAGACCTTATTCTGTTTATTTGTGGAATAAAAGGCTCAATGAAAATGCAGCTAAGGTATTTTAATGATGCAATATTTTATGAAAAAAAAACAGAACATCCAGAAACTTTGCCATTAATGTCCTGGAACGCATAGTCACGTGCTGATACTTTATAAGACACTGAAAATGTGCACTGTCATAAACCAATATTCATCAGAGATTGGACCCAGTAATCTGGCGTTAACTTACTGGCTCATGTCCTCCTCCTTTTCCACCTTAGCAAAGGTTGCCACTTTATTCTTCAGTAAATACAGGTGACCGGGCCCTCCCTAAGAAACACACACAGGAATCAAACACATTAGTACTATCACAACTGCTAATTGCTTAAATCCCAAAGGAAGGTACTGAACGCAGTGTAGCTGGTTACTCCAATTCCATATGGAGCGTATGAAACACATGACCCCATATATTCCAAATAAATTCTATAGTTTTATACTTTTATTTGTCTCATTCTTCACCTGACAAAAGATGAGCATCCTCCAGAACTTGCTTCCTCTCCTGTAAGCTGTGAGCTTCTTCTCTATTTCCTCTGTAAAGGGAGGGGGAAAAAGGTTGGATTGATGTGAACAGCAGGGACCGAGAACGGAAAGAGAAAAGAATATGCAAAGAGACAAGTAACAATGTACTGAGAGGGAGAAATGTGAACACAAAGGAACTCTCTGGAGGGTGAGTTCAAGTACAGGTGCAATAATAGAGAGCAGAGACACTAATGGAAGATGTAGTTTAATTTGAATTAAACAGTTTGTACTTCACAGCAAATAAAACAGGCCAGTGAAAGATGATAAACTGGAAACCTTGAAATCTAGTGCAAACTATCGTTTGACATCTTTTCAATAAGTGTATGTGAGCTTTATTTAATACAGCGTTCATTATTATCTTAGGAAACTGAAGGGACCATTTCCTGCAAGTTCTTCTGTTATGAGCATCAAAGAATCTTTTTCAGAATGCAGAAATAAATCCTAAAAACAGAAGTTTAAATGTATCTGTGGTTAGAAAGGGTTAAAAAGGCAGATACTAACACAAACAGGAATATTCACTCACCCAAAATATCATCAAAAGTTGCATGTTCATGGTCCTAGGGAAAAATACATTTGTAAAAACAATCATTGTAACATTGTAAACTGATTATATTTACATTGCAATCTGTATTATATGACACCTTTTTTTTTTTAAAGAAACAACTTGTGATGTGTCTGTCTGCACACATGCCAATGCTCAACTCACATAGAGTATGGGGATGATGGAGGGGTCATCCCTGCGGATTATAGTGGGAACGTACTCTGCCTTGGGGACCTTCGAAGAGATCAGCTAAAGGTGAAGTAGGAACAAAAGAGGGAGAGGGAAGGTGGAGGGGTGAGGGAAGGAAAGCGTAGAAGATGGAAGAAAATGGAGCAAAGTCGGGGGATGAGGAAGATAGTTTAGTAGAAATGAGAGGAAAGCTGAAAAGAGCTAACTCTATCACACTCTCATGCCTGCAGGGAATGTACTGTTAATGGTAGACAATACTTTAGTTGCATTTAAGATGCCACACCTGCATATTAAGTAATCTGAGAATAAACTAATTTTCACAAATTCTGTTTACTTATATTGTATGATGTCTCTTATTAACCTGCTTAAACAGGAAATTAGGTAATATAAATTTGCATTTGATTAAATAATTAGCAGATTATTACAATACTGGCATCTTACCATGATTTTAGGAGGTACAAAATCATCTCCTTCACAGGCCTGCCTCTCCATCTCTCTCTCCTCCTCCCAGTCTAAGTTGTCATCAACGCCTCCTTCATCCAGGGTACCACAAGAGGCCTGCAGGTCTCCGCCTGGAAGAGAATATAACACACCGTGAGGAAAAAGACTTGAGATAATAGGGTGTAGGCAGAAGTGTCGGGTGGGAGGCAAAGGTGAAACAGAAAGAGAAAATCTGGGAGTGAAGGACATGTCCAGGAATCGGTGAGTGCGGAGGAGAGGAAAAAAGATGGAATTGTTGATAATGGTGTAAGAAAATGACAGATGGAGCAGGAAAAAAAAGAGACAGCTGGCAGAGGCCGAACAAAAGATGACAGGTAGTGAGTGTTTCCGGAATCGGCTAACAAGGAGAGCTATGAAAACTGCGATCAGAGGGCGGCTGTTCTAAGAAGGGAAGTTTATTCATTTTACACACTAGATATTTTAACATATGCAATATAACATATAACAAAACATATATAAATGTATCAAGCAGATTGTATTGCAATAACATCACTCAAAATACTCAAATACAATGCAAGGGTCGTGTGTATTTTTGTATGGCCAATGCTATTCCACATAAGTTTTGAAGACTTAAAACAGGGGCACTAATTAGCATATTAGCTTGTCACTCAGTTAAACTCTACAGGGCTTCTGTATAACCTTGGATTATGGTACAGGACAGCTGTTGAACTATTTCTCACCTGGAGGGGGATTTCTTAATGTGGTGTCAAACTCATTTGTCCTACAGAGCCAACAGTGATTCTAGTAACCTACTTCAGTGTAAGGAGATTGTTTAGTCTCATTCCCGGGCTGTCAAATACTGATTCTTTGGCAACCCAAAGCGTTGGTATTTTATAACCTGGGAATGAGACTCAGCTCCTTTTCTCCAGAATGACTGACCCCACCTTTAGTGGTTGTTAATGGTATTAGCCACTACACACCTGATTCATATTGAACCACCATAAGTTATACAATGAAAACAATGTATTGGCTCTTAAAGCAGAACCATACTGATGTGTTATGGCTATTATCGGACGTTTTTTCGTGTCAGAAAGCCTGTTATGACATCTTGAGGTTGAACTGAGACTCTGGGGCAGTGTGGACTCTTTCTCATAGTTGTTTTGTTGCCTTAGTTTGCTTTTACCGCTTAATTGACTGAGATAATGAGAGGCAGTTGTTTGTTAGCTCTGAGCTGTCGATATACTTCTTTGATCTATGGCCAGGTGGTGTGATGCAGTTTCTTTTTCTTCACTTGATAATATGTGTTTTTGTTGGTTATAATCCCTGAGCAATTAATATATTGCTGGTATCATTGCTGTTCCTGAGCGTTAACAAACATGATTGGCATGTTTAATGTGAGCTTAAGGCATTTATTACTGCCAAAATGTCCGCTGTCCTGTACAAAATATATTCTCTTCTCCTCCTTGATTCTTTGACTGGACTCATGTCTGTATTTACCGTCAAAGTAAATCGTTAATTTTGCTTATCACAGATATATCGAACAGAAAAGCCAATAAGGGTTTGAGGTAATTCTGAAGCGGTGTCACCATTACTTAGTTTTTTAAACTTCCAAAGATCTATGGTGGTATCAGCCTCAAAGGCTAATAAAGACATCCAATAATACAATGGTAGGTACCCAGGGGGAAATAGCAGTTTGAAGAGGGGAATTGAAGTAGAAAAGTATGAAAAAGAGGAAAAAGACAAACAAGACTGACAATTAATGTCACTCCTCTGGAGAACAATACCTTTCCCTCAGGGAAAAGGAGGAATGAGGCATCAACCACACCATTAGACTGTCATCAACAGTTCATTTATCTGTCATCACACTCTGAAACACAGAAACACTAAGGATGGAGGTGGAGAAAAAACATAAAACCCACAGATATTTCAGACATCAACATAGACGAACGGCACATGCAAACAGTGTGTGTTAATTCACATATTCAAAGCCCTTTAGAAACACTTGGACACCATTCACATGCATCCTCGCGTTTAACGTTTGTACCAGTTTCACACACTCAGACTGAGACGCACACTCCATTTTGGAAGACATACTCACAGAAAGAGAGACCATCACAAAGTTGAAGAAAGACCCACAGTCATAGGGAGACAGATGGACAGGGTCAGAGTCAACAGCAGAGACAGTCAGTTTGTACGTGCGATTGTGTGTTTTATGTGCAAGTGTCCGTGGATGAATGGAGCTGTAAAACCGTGATGACAAAATGTCAGCTTACTTCAGGAGGGAGGTCTTCGGTATAGAATACTGTCATATCATGAGTCCTACTTGGCATGTGTCAGTTTGTACAGGTTGCAGGAAGTGGCGTTAACTTTAAACCCCTGATAAAAACCATCACGTAGTGGAGACAAGTACAATATTTAATTCTGACACAGAATGTTGTTGAATAGGTAGGACAGCTCCCCAAATGAAAATACACAAATAATAAAGTACAAGTACGTACAAACCTACTACGCTTTTGCAGCTGGCAGTATTTGTCACCCCCTTCATTTTTCTCTACGCTTTGTATCTTTGTTAGAACCCTGTTCTTTGATGTTGCAGTTTGTGTTTGTTCCGCCGACATGATAATATGTTTTTAAATACCTATTTGTATGGTTTTATACATATCTTTTGACTGGTTGTCCTTCATTTAATGCTACGGATGATTTGGCCTTATTCTAGCTGTGCTGGAAGTTGGCTCATATATCAAGGTACTGATTACCAGACCTTTTTATGGCTGGCAAATACTAAGCACTGAGTGGCTTTCAACTCAATGTGAGCCACCTTTGTGAGCAAATTAATTAATGACAAAAGTACAGAGTGAGTAGGAAGCAACTTCGAGCTATAATCAATCTGCCAGTTGAGATGTGAGGGAACAAAGGGTCAGATGGTAATTTATGAAAAACAAAATATGTTAGCTATTTGTGCATATTATAAACACTTACACAGAGAACACTTAAACACTTACTGAGTAGGATCTTTAAAAGGATATGTTTGTATCTGGTAGTTAGGGTTAGGGTTTAATTTCCAGTTTTGTCTGGAGACAAATGTCAGTTGATTGCATTGGGAAGTATTTTGACATTTAGAAGGCGATTTCTTACAGGTCCAGGTCATTCTTTTTTTTTTCTTTTCCTTTTTCTTCTTTCAGTTTAAGAGTGCATGCTAGGATTACAAACTGACAACTTTCCAAGCAAAAAAAACCTACCGCTTGCTCACATTGACTAATAAAATTCCTCTTGGAGGCTTAAAACCTCTAATACTCTCACGAGAATGTCCTTGTATGCTCTCAAAACTTGTTCTCATGAATCTGTCCCTGTATGCTCTTCATTCCCATGCAAACTGTTATGTGCCAACTCAACACTCACACACATTTTGCCACACAAATACATACATTAATGAACGTACAGCCCTTTTCTGTTTTTAATTGACCCATTTTTGGCTTCTCACTGCAGTTGTAAGAAACCGTTTGTGTCAGCATCTCCGTGTGTGTGTGTGTGTGTGTGTGTGTGTGTGTGTGTGTGTGTGTATGTGTATGCATGTATGTGCATAAATAGTACGTGTGGTGTGCTGGTGTTGTGTGTGTGTGTGTATGTGTGTGTGTGTGTGTGTATGTGTGTGCATGTATGTGCATAAATCTGTGTTAACTCACTGTCTCTGGGTTCATGAGGAGAGTCAGTCTTGACAGGGGTGGGGTCACTCCAGGAACGGCTGAAACTCTTCGATCTACGCTCAGCGAATGCTAGTGCAGGCGGGGAGAGATAGTCACACACACACGCACATCACACACACACACACACACACACTAACAAGCCCCAAACTGGCTGCTTCCTCTATACACTCACCACCGAGAACACACAAGTGCAAAGGCGGATGCAGCTACGGGTTCACAAATATAGTGTACATACAATGCCGTCGCTCCTCTGCACAAACAAACTGCCAAACAAACATAAAGTATTCTAACAATCATAACACTGTAAAGGATCCTGGAGTATCACTATCATACGTGGATACGAAAATAAAAGGACTGTTCTTGTTTCACAGATTTACTGAGCAACGACCCATTGATTAAATCAGCTCTGCTTTAAACAGTAATCACTGCGCTCTTAGAATATTTTTAGACTACTTGAAAGTGTTTGACACGGTTAATCAACAGTGTCCCTCAAGGCGGCATATGTTTTTGGCCTTTGTAGTTTCTAAGCTGATGGATCCTCACTTATGTTCCTTTTTGCTGCTCATACCAACTTGTTATCAAGTACAAATGTCTTTTCATTAGTGAAAACATTCATAAGGTCAGAATCTTTTTTTATGTGTTTTTCTTGTGATCAAAAAGACATTTTTACATTACAAGGTTTCCTTTTAGAAATACATTTGTTTAATGCTATCAAACGGCTATTTCATGTTTCAAACATCACAAATACTGATTAGAACTGGAGCTTTCATTTTTATAGTCAGAACCGATTGATAGGGTCTAATGGGTCTCCCTCAGGCTTGATTGGGTCTGGTTTCATTTAATTTATTCTATTTGGCTTAATCAACATTAAGCCTTGCCACCAGCTTCTGTGACCATGAGGTAAATGTCCTCTACAGCTATGCCTAAGATCTGAGAAGAAATTGTCTGAAGAAGAAATTAGCTGCAGGAGAACTAGTTCCTCCTCACAACAGGGGGAAGTCTGAGGTGTGTTACAACTTTGACATTTCTGTCAGCAGCAACAAGATTTTGGAACGTTTGTCTCCACAATGAAAGGTGAGAAATGTGGGTTTTATTTGTTTGTTTGTTTTTAAATCCCAAATTATTCCTTTTTCCAAATATTTAACTGACACCTGATAACCATAAACCACTTTTACACATTTCCATTCTGACACTACTGGACCAGAGAGAAATTGCACAAATGTATGATTTTCACAGCAAAAGGCCAAGCACTTTTTTGCACCAATTGCCCATAATTCAGTTGGAAATACCTATTCCTGTTTGGTCATCTGAACTTAAAAAAGAAAGACTGAAATGAGGTGAGAAGTCAGAAACTATGGTTTTGATCTTTCTAAGCTACCTGTCACATGAGTGGGACATAGATTAACTAGTTTAGCTTGCTTCCTTCACCATTTTCTTTCCATTCAAAAGGTCAAAACAAGCTAATAGATTTCACACCAGTCACATCACAAAATGACACTCACATTGCCCCCACATCCAATCCAGAACAAGGAATCAGTTTTTATTTTTCTATCAGTGTTTTATAGACTTGCAGTGACACTCACACAGACGCACACCATTTAACAATCATCACGTTTTCCATAAATTATATGATTAAGTGTCTTTGTCTTCAAACTTCACAACCAACCAAACAACCCCCCCACCAAACATTCAAAGCAATGCAACAGGAAGAGGCCACCTCCATCTTAACACACTCATACATACACACATGCACAGACTCCTGTCTCTGGCATATCAAACACACACCGATGCACATATAATCCTCAAGGAAATGCAATAGAGCGTTACAAAATCCCAGCAAAGCAGCGGTTAGAGCCACACACATGCAAAAACACGCTGGAAAACAGAGAAAAAACCGGGATGATGGCGGGGTGAACAACATCACAGTCAATTTGAGCAAACATATCAACCACACACACATCTCTGACTCACTCTGTGCTTTAATCCTTCTGCTGCCCACCATCCGAAGATGCTTCCGGAAGTTCCTGTGGGTAGAGAAATCAAAGCAGAGGAGGGATAACAGCGGACAGAGGAAGAAGCAAAACGTAAAAAGAAAAGAAAGAAGAAAGAGGGAGGGGTGGGCAGGAAATAAAGCAAAGGCAAGACAAAAAGAGGAGACTTTAGTGTCAGGCTCCTATTTCTACTAAAAGAGGTAAAAAGGAGATAATTATACGTAAATACACACATTTCCTTGTCAATGTGAATGGAACACACTTCCACAGAGGAACATGTGGGTGTAATGTTCCACATTGCCAGAGTACCTCTTTTCATCCTTTACAGTGTAGTTTATGAGACACAGGAGATTCATTCATGTAACAACAGCCAAAAGGGAAACCCTAATTTAGTATTTTGTAGGTTTTGATGCATATGCTCTTAGCAGAGCCACCACAGAGGCAATGATGGTGCATCAGAGGGAGTTCATTCTGTCAAACTTGATCCCTTGATCCTTCATCATCTAAAAAACCTATCAACAAAATTGAGTCTCATTGTAACAGGTGCTTTTTGTTGTTCTGTGCTGCTGTCAGTTGCTCCAACGATTAACTTCAACCGTGGAAAACAACAGAAAGCAAAAGCAACAAGCTGCATGAAATCAATTCACTTTAATTCATCCATTATTATTATCCATTAAATCCTGTCTGCATGCGGCTGATGGTGAGCCATTCCTACATATCCCTTGCTAGCTTGGTAGTCCATGTGCTTCCTGGCCTGCATTCCTCCTTTACGTTAGTATGTGGTTTTGATTTTTATTAGATGAAGAATTACTTTTGATTACAATGCAAGAAATCATGGACTGCAGGCTTGATCACTTATAAGCTAGCAAGTAATGCCAGCTGAGATAATTACTCCACTATTCTTTAATATCCACACTGTGGAGGTCAGACAGAAGCCAGTCGCTTTTGTTATTTTTCTTTCTTCTCAAAGCCTGTGTCATAACCAATGTCACACTAACGCTTTAAGACTGAACTTCCATATTTACATACGCCACCTTAATCTGATGGAAGGTCTGACTTTTCCATCATTGGTTTAAAAGAACCTGGATGCACTAAGCAGGCTTTTCTTATCTTCATTATTCAAATGAAGTCATAAAGAATCAGGACTACTGTATCTCACTGAGGCTAATCACGCACTAATGATGCCCTACGACGAAAAATATTTCAGTCGAGATCATTATTCATCAGGAGACTCACAGGTGCAGAACTGTGGCGTCAGCCTGATGGAGCAAGATTGTAATTGTCATAGCTATGTGCTAAAGTGAGCAGTGTTTTGCTCGCGTTGTGTAATTATACAAACGTATTCCCCTGGAATGTATGCAGGCAAATGTGTATACACTTAAAATAGTGATGGCAGTATTGATTTATATTATTTAATTACAGAAACCTAGATTTTTGGAAACATGGTTTTCATCACACTTGGTCTGTTCACTCATTCCTATTGCTTCCCACTATCTAATGACAGAACACATCAAACTATAAAAGAAAATACTGTTATAGCTGACGAGGTCCAAACATATTGACGTAGTTTCTCTTTTTTTTTCAATTTGCAGGGTCTTGCTACTTGCATTAGTAGACAAGGGTTTTCATGTCTCCTAGCAACATTAAACTTCATCTGTGTTTTCTATAAGTAATTAAATATAAAGGCTGTGCATTACCATGTTCCACTTGAAATCCATTTAGTGTTTTAAATAACAACAAAGGAATGGGATTTGTATAGTATTTTCCCTGTGAATTTCTGCCTGATCCTGACATGATGTTCTATGCAAGAGCCCCAGATAAACATCCTTTTATCTCTCTGCCTCCCTCCCATGTCGCGTCTACACACAGTTTCAGTACACCGAGCTACCAGTCAACACTCATGATTAATGATCTCTGCATGTAGTTTGTGAGTGTGTGTATGTGTGAGTGGGTCCATGTTTATCTGGTGGTGGAGAAGCACATAAAAATAGAAGCAACATAAAAGGGGGGGAAAAGTCTTTGGAGCCTCTTTGTCCTTCGTTTACCTCAATACAAAATGTCAACAACAGTTAACGCGCAATATCGAACAATGAATTTCACAGTTTATTTAAGAGCTAAACAATCTGCATCATGCCGGAACATGGTCTAATAAGGAGCAAATGTAATATTAACACACTAATACACAGAGTCAGACAGACATCTTTTCACCCAGATTGTCCTGTGCCTAAACCTCAGCTGCCCACAAAGGGAGAGGTGTGGAGAAGGATAATGAGATTTAGACAGAAAGAAAAGAAATGTGAGAGAAACCATGTCCGCCTCCACTTCCAAATAAAGATTGTCTATCTGTCTGCTCCCCCTGGCCCCCTTCTTCATATCTTTTTTTAAACTCTCGATTACTCTTTTTATAACTCGTTTCCATCTGTTTTCCCATTTATATATTCTATATTTTGTCCTATCATTTTTTACTACTGTTCAATCTGCTAATTACTGCTGTTGGCGCATCAATATAACTCAATTTGAAATAAGTGAAATATCACAAAATAGGGATTCATAATTTAAAAGTAATGTTTAGAGCCTGTCTTTTTAATATTTATTATAATCTTTATTTGAATAGGAAAAAACATTGTAATCACACCTGCAGGATTTTTACACAAATAGTACTTATAAGCATCCTTAGCGTCTCTTTCTTCTTCTCTTTTAATGATGTGGGAACTTTCTCTCAGTCTTCCATCTTTTCTTAATAATGTCTTTTACTATTACTTCTTGCCTCAGGTTTTGTCTGCTTTGAGAATGTACATGTAGTACTCAAAACCTTCGTAATAATATCTCTTTCCTGGTAAAGAAGGCACTGAGTTTTGCGTTTAAATATAGGCGATCTGTATGGGCAGCAACAGCTAAAATGTCTGATCATTTAGTTAGGTAAAAGTAGTAATACTCCATTATGAGTGAAAGTCTTGCAGGATTTTACTTAAGCACAAGTACATAGGTATTAGCAATAGAAATATACTTACTAACTAAAGTAAAAGTAATCTGTATGCACAATAATATGTATTATTGGATTCTGATTATTTATTTTATTTTAATCTATAATAATACATTAATCATTCAGTTGAGTATATTTCATAATAATCTTAATCTACAAAGTAACTAGTAACTAAAGCACAATATTTGCTTCTGACGTACAGTGGGATGAAGGTATAAAGTAGTATAAAATGGAAACACTCAAATAAATGTGCCTCACAATTGTACTTAAAAGAAAAAAACCAGATTCACTATTAGAGATAGTAATACAAAATAAAAAGTAATGTGAGCACCTCATATTAAGGTGTACAGGGGAGAATATTATTTTTTATGATGAAAGGCACTTCTCAGATCAGGTGATGATTAAGAGCAACACTGAAATGGCTCTTTTACTTTTTCTTTGTGCACTGATGTTGTTTTTACCGTAGCTGAGAACTGTCTTGTATTTGGGGATGAGGATCATCCTCTGTTTTCACTGGTACTTGACAGAAGCGCTGCCTGCAAACTCTTACTGAATGAAAATAATCTGCTCTGCTCTGCTTTGTGGCTTAGACCATGTATGTACTAATACATATACATTTAAAATGTTGTTTATGTGTTAAGATTTTTCAGTCACACTGGTGTTTTTATTACTTCCTTAAAGTTGGCCATTAAAATAAAAGATTAATACAAATAAAAAAATACAAAAATGCTTCAATCTGGAGCCATTTTCAATTCATTTCAAGTGTTGTTTTGCTATCAGAAGGGAATCTCATAAATGTCCACACTAGAACACAAGAACTGCGTTTTCTAAGTTATTGACTATGAGCTGGCTTTCCTGTTTGATCTGATTTTGGTGATCAAACACCCTGGTTGTAGAGGGTAGATGACAAAATTGGAACAAAAATGAACATGCGTTCATCATTCCACTTCCTTAGGCTGGACATGGCCTCTGATAAAATATAAACAGGTGGATGGACGATTTTTTTCCTAAGTGGATTTTAGTGCAAGAGGGCAAAGTGTTCTCAAAAGTTTGTTCTGCAGTTATTTTTCCTCAAGTTCAAATCACTCATTTTGATGAAATAACACACAACGTTAATGTGCTGACACTGCAGATGGATGACACTGAGATGTCAAAGGAATTGAGATGTACTGCATGGTGTCACATTCACCATCTGCCCTTGTGTGACAGAGCATCTGGGCCTGAGTGGGACGGTTTCTGAACTTGTTACTGATGTCATTACTCCTGCAAGTGTTACAGGATCTCACTCCCTGTTTCCACTGTTTCTCCAAATGTTATTTTTCCTAATATCCTAATAGGGAAACACAAATTGACTCTGTTTTGTGAGGGTAATACCAAAATATCTGGGACAGACATCTGCAGTAACTTAAAAACTTGTATTGTTGAAGTACTGTAGTTGCCAAGGAATGACTCTAATATCACATTTTGAATCGCAACTTTCAAAACCTTTAACAAAACCATTCTTAGGAGTTTTTTTTTTTAATTAGGTGCAAGTTTGCAACCAATACAGTGGCTGAGTAAAAGCTACAATATGAGCAGATTTATCCTGTTTTAGGGCTGCTGCTTAGAGGTAGAGCGGTTCGTTCCTTAATAGGAAGACTGGCGGTTCGATCCCTAGCTCACTCCAGCCAGCATGAGTTCAGATACTGAACCACCGATGGCTCCTGAAGGCTGTGCCATAGGTGTGTGTGAGAATAAGCATTAGTTACCCTTTCTGCTGCAACTGGCGTGGCAGCCTCTCGCCATCAGTGTTTTAATGTTGAATGTTAAAGTCAGAAGACGCAAGGCACAATATAAATGTAGTCCAATTACCATTTATCTGAACTTTTCAGTTTTGTCTAAAAATAAAAATCAGATCACTGTAGTTGGCAGTACAAATGTGGCCTAGAATTTGGGGCGCTGAAGCCTGGCATCAAGTAAGGAGATTCTTTTGAAAGCTGCTGACGTCCTCACAACTTCAAGTGCCCCGCTGTGACTCTTTGGCTTAGTAAAATTAGATATGGCTGTAAAT